CACCACTAGATGGGGGTAAAAATCACACAGTGTAGCTTTAATGGACACTCCTGGCATAATTGTGCAAGTGTCTATTTCACTAAGTGGCCAATCATTTTCCTATACATACATTTCTAAAAGTATGGAAATTTCATAAATTTTGTCACAGAAAAAAAATGTCCCTTGGTGTTATGCAATAACCTGATATTATGTTGGGCAAATGGGGTCTTTCAACTAAATGTAGTCGTCCATGATATCTCATGGACAACTACATTTAGTTGAAAGACCCCATTCAAGGTCATGTGACTGAAGACCCCTATGAAGCCCATGAGCAGTGCACATTGTAAGTATTTCTCTCAGAATTGGTCAAATATTTAACTATGTTTTCAGAACACTGAAGTTGTTTTTTTGTCCTTTGATGTGACACCCCGGAATTAAATGTTTTAATTCAAATTTGTATTTTTAACAGCAGCACTATGTAATATTATGCAAATGTATCATGCCAATTGCTAATGACAGTTCAGCTAGCATTAACAAAGTTATTAACATGCCACAAAAGCTCAAGTGTCTTTTGGTGTGACAGGAAAATGTCCTTTGGTGTGACACTTTGGCCTGTCACACCATAGGACACAGATGTCACACAATAGGAAAAGACCTCTTTAAGAAGCCATTAAAACAAATAAAGTTTGTTAACACTCTTTTCATTCTTTTTTGACCAGTTTTGATGATTTTAAATTCAATAATGACTTAAATTTTAATGTTTGTTGCCGTTTTTAGGAGACTACTGTACATAAAATGTTCTGAAGTGTTACTAAAACAGCTATAAACAAATAAAGTATATAAATACAGTGCTACTATAATGCTACTTAACTTTTTTTAGAACAGAAAGAACAGAAGGAGAGATGAGTGCAAAAGAGAGGACCAGACAGTATAGGGAGCTAATTACAGTAAAAAGGATTCTATAAGAGAACGACGGAGAAAGTAAATTAAACTGAAATGTTGCCATAGACTTCATATAATATACATCTTAAAATAATTCAGGGATCTTGCTGAGTGACTGAATGACTGCTTATTATTCAGTATCAGAATAGACCTGTGTAAGGTTCAGGTTCAACATAATAAGCTTTCTTATATGTTTTATAAGAAAGTGACAAGTGGCTACATTTGCGGGTCTCAGGTGTCACCCCCCCCCCCCCCCCCCCCATCCAACTCCTCCCACCTTACATACACCTAAACCTACCCAACTCCACCCCCTGATCACTAAACCCAACCCTAATCCTACCCATCTCCACCCCTTGGATCTTGATCCGACTCCTCCCCGTGGATCTCATGTACTGCATTGAGGTGCTACTGATTTTTTCAGCATTTTTCAAATATTGCCAGTGGGTGGAGTCAGGCTCTGAACAAGGGTTTAAAAAACTTTTCTTTAATTTTTTGTTCCCCAAAGAATCTTACAGTAAACAGTTCATAAAAGAACCATATTTTCTTAGTGTAAAGAAAATTTTAATGATCTAAATAATTATTTTTTTTACTATAAAGAACCATTTTATAATGTTAAAGTTTCTTCATGGAACCACAGATGCCACAGCTCATCCCAAGGCGCCATATACTGACGCTTTTGCCAAAGCGTAGACATCCAACTCACATGGCACCCTTTAGCGTCAATATGAGACGCAGATATGGGCCAGAAGGCGCCTCCTAGTGGTCTAACCCTAATCCTACCCCAGACCTAAACCTAATCATAACCGAAGCGTGTTATATTGACGCTCAAGGGTGCCATACGCGTTTGATGTACGCATTGGCAAAAGCATCAGTATATGAGAGCCCGTTCTCATCCCAAAGCGCCATATAGGACGCTTTTGCAAAAGCGTAAATATCCAACGCACATGGCACCCTTTAACATCAAATGAGACGCAGATATATTTGGGCAGAAGGCACCCCCTAGTGGTCTAACCCTTACCCTACACCATACCTAAACTTAACCATAACCGAAGCGTCTCATTAGACATTAAAGGGTGCCATGTGCATTGGATATTTACGCTTTTGCAAAAGCGTTGTATATGGCGCTTTGGGATGAGAATGCGTTGTATATATGACGCCTTGGGATGACAATGTGTTGGACTGTGAGCAGTGGTCTGAGTCTGACTGAAAACTGGGGAAGAACAATATTTTCTTCCTGGGAAGATAAATAGCATTTTTCTAGACTGCATTTCAGAGGGAAATCTGCAGAATTCACTTGAAAGATTTTAAATAAAGGTTAAATATAAAGGGTAAAATGAAGACTCCTGCTTGAGACTCTTGAACCTTGTCGGGCTTGATCATCTCACACTGTTTTTGCACACACAAAATTGAAGACTAAAATTACTCAGTTTTAGAACAATATCCACCAATTACCACATTATTCTTTGGGCTGAAATGGGAATTCATGAGAACTGCAGGGTAAATGAAAAATATACATATATGACAGACAAATATAACATGCAGAAAGTAAAGAATATACATGTCAAAATAGCATTCACAGACAAGTCACGAGTTGTTTCTAGCTCTAAATATTCAGAAAACACAGTACCCATAACATCACAGCTGAAATGCAACAAGTAACACTTGTGAAATAAAATATCTCCCACTTAATAGGATAGGATTATATAGTCCATATCATAATGATTATAGCATGTAAGTGTGAAATAATTCAAACCATACCAGTTTTTTTTTCATTAAGCATATATTTCCATAAAGACAAAACACCAAACACAAAAAGTATCGAGTTAGTAAAAGGTCTATATGTTCAGATCATAGACCATATAAAGATTCAGTGACATCACATTGTGAGAATTGAGCAGAACAGTCAAACATCCAAACTACTTTATGAGCAGAGGACATAAATATAGGTGAAATTTCAGATGTTAAGGTAAGCATAAATCCAAAAACGAAAAAAAGAGGTAGCAAGCAACCATCTTGGTTTAGTAATACTTGTTGAGAACATCAGTGCAGATGGACTACTATAACATAGTTAGATCAGTCACAGCTGAAATGGTTGATTGCGTGATAGAATACCAACAAAAGCTGTGGGAGCAGCATTCCATCTATTGTCTTTATCACACGGTGCATCTGTTCTGGCTCTCGTGGTTAGCCAATGATACCGTGTAAAGAATTAAAGCCTGATTCAACTTTTTCAAGATAAGTGATTCACAGTTTTTGAGCTGTCATGTAGATGGCATGTCTCAATAACGTGTTTGCACGTGTATACTGATACTGAAGTGACACAAAAACCTGTGAGTTAGTTCAAACCATCCATGCATTTTCCAGAGATATTACAGGATATCAAACAAAATATAATCTTCTTTTGCCATTTGCAATATACAAAGCATTCTACACTTCATATTCAGTGCCTTATTTTCACATTTAAGGAAGAATGAGTTTCATTCCTGCGCCTTATAAAAATTTGTGACAGTGCAAAATACTAGACTTTGCAAAGAACTTTACAATTTATACACGTCTTTAGATGTATTCCATTTATAGAAAGAAATAACCAAAAATAATAATACACTGACATTTTAGATAATGTGAATACTGAACAACCACTCAAAACATCATTGTGGTTTCCCCAGAGGATACATTATCCAGCATTAAACCCATCATCTGCTCTGATCAGAACAGTTGCTTCACTTCAGTCTTCCAGGACTTTATTTTACAACATTATGTCTATTATATCTAAAAAAAAATAATGTGCTGGTAAATATTAAATTGCCCCTAATATTTTTCAAATATTACCTTTCATGTAGTTTAATACAGCTGTTTGTTAATGAGGAAGCCTCCACAGCCTTTCAGATATGGTAATAGGCATTTTGTTTCTGACTGGTGCTGTAAGTGGTAGACCAATCAGAACAGACTGGGCCAGAAAGCAGGGGTTGGTGAAAAGAAATCTTAAAAAAAAAATTATACAATCTTTGAGAAATAAGGTGATGCGCAATGTATACATGAGAAAGTTAAACCTTTGATTCATGTAAACCTTAATCCAGGAGACCTCCAAAACAAAATTAGAAACCTTAAAATAGCATAATAGGGGCACTTTAAACAAATCTTTATTTTACCCTCAGGAAAACGAGACAACTGTGATGTCTCTACAGTGCATCTATTTTTTTATTTCCTTTTCTGTCATTAAAATTTGATGTACTGTATGTAGTAGACAATTTATGTTCCTATGCTCATTGTCCAGGGATGTCACTTTTGCTCTAAAATCTAATCTAACATGAATGGAACATAATTCTACAAGATTTAACAATACAAAGTCATAATTTTGGCACTTAATCACATGAAGACATCTATTAGACAAAGTTATTTTATACATGTCATTTACAACATTTCACATGTACCTTAGGTTTTTCAGGTAAAAATAACAATAAGGTTTCAATTTGTTAACAGCAATCATACATTATTGTATAAATAAAAATAAATTGATAGTGAACAATGAATAGTAAATTTATAAACAAACAATAACTTAGATGCTATCAAAATTATTGTTTATTGTTTATTTATGAAACCTAATGCATTAACTGACATTAACAAATTGAACCTTAGGTTACACTTTATTTTAAGGTGTCATTGTTTCAGTGAATCTATACATTTAATAATGGAGTAATATTAATTAACTATGTGTATTTACTATAGGGTTAGGGGTAGGATTCAGGTTTGGTTTAGGGTTAGTTGCATATAAATATGCATAATTTAAAGTTACTACTATAGTAATTACATGTAACGTTTACAAGGACACTGTAAAATAAAGTGTTACCAAACCTTCTTGTAAAGCGGTACAGCTAAACTTCGAGACAAGACCATCCTCTCGATACAGCTGTGTCAACAATGTTTGAATGCATTTTGGACTTTTTCCACCAGATACAGCAGCCACATTTCTGAATATGTTAGGCCTTTTAGTCTTACCATGAACATGACCTTCACACAAACTCTTCTACTCTAATGTCTTTCTCCATTAGGTCTGGTCCACTCGTTTGTTTACCATTTTCCAAAAAGCAGCTATTCAAAGGACATGAGGTTTGCTGGTATCTGTGGAAAACAATGTGATATTCTTTGAATTGCTTGTTAATTACACAACATTTTGTTCTTTTTTTTTTTAAATACGAGAACCTGTATAAAAATAAAAATCAATATTTTAATACGAGAACACACTTACCTGCGGTCTTGTACTCCTGCAAGCCTCAGCTAGATGTCTGTGCCAGATGATCGCAGAGAAACGTGATCCAGTCTGGAACTTGTAAACATTACCTGAAACCACAGATTCAAACAAATGAACTTGCAACTTGAGTTTATCAAATGAAGTTGTGTGACATTGCAAATCTGCCATTTATAGAGTCAAAAGTCATTTTTTGAATACATTTTATTGTAGCAATGTCTCATTTCTTTCGTGGGAGATAATTCGTCACTTTTGTGTATATTCGGTGTATGATTGCTGTGAAGGTTACCTCACCAAAGGCTAGTTAAATAAAATATGGTGGTGTTGCAACTAGCTGAATATGACACAAGGAAATCCCACCACAGCATTCAACAGTGTTTGCAAAAAAAAAAAAAAAATACTATTCAACTATTCTTTTTTTCTCTCTGTGGGCCTCGAATGAGTTTACGTAGTGTAACATTGCAGCGCTTCTGTGTTGTACGTCACATGCATCACACACATGATCAGCGTCGGCCAATAGTGAGCCTACGTGTGACATACAACATAGTAACGCTGCACTGTTACACTATGTGAACTCACTCAAGGCCCACAGAGAAGAAAATCAATAGTTGAATAAATTTAGGTTTTTTTTTTGCGCTCAAAGTATTCTCGTCGCTTGATAAACTTAAGGTTAAGCCAATGTAGTCACTTTTAGTGTTGTCAAAAAACTCGGTACTTCGGTACCAAGTCGGTACTAAAAAAAATAAAATGTTACGGTACCAGCTTTTCTAGGTACCGAGTACCAGGTTAATCCAGTTCTGTTCTAGACGCGATGTCTGAAACGTGCACAGTTGCGTCCTCTTCATAACGCTGATATGCTCTCTCTCTCTGAATCCACTTGTTGAAACGAAAGGAGGAAAGAGCCACATATGGAAATATTTTGGATTAGGCTAATGTCACGTTGCCATAAGAAGCCGATTACATGCAAATTCGCAATTTCAAATATAGGCGCGATTCAAGCGCGCTCATAATAAAAACTCGTTGGCGTTGCATAGCAACGACAGACGCCGCGTGAGAGCAAGCGCTTTGGAAAGAATAAGCACGCGCAAAAATATAATTAAAAAACACGCGCGACATGTGAACGGCCCCTAAAGTGCTTTCGGGGTAGTTTTACGAGTAAATGAGCACAGTAGTATCCACCCGACACCAGAGTAGGCTACTGGTATTAGTATTGTCATTTAATGTCAATGCCAGTTCTAGGCGTATTCTTGCCTTTATAACTCAGCAGGTTTAAAAAGCCTTTTTAAAATCAAATATGAATGCAGTTTTAGATTAAATAAAAGGACAGTCAAGTCAAATAAAACATGTTTTATGGTAATGCTACAAAGATACCATTCATCAACATTACTTAGTTATCAACACATTGAGTGAACAATATATTTTTACAACATTAATTAATGTTTGAAAATGTTATTTATTACAAACACCTGAATTTTCATGTTTGTTCACTTAATTCATTGTGCATTAAATAAATAATGGATTAAAACTTTACAAACAACTTTAAAAATGTGTTAGTTTATACTATTGTTTATTTTAGGTCATTTTATCTAATCTTTTTCTAAAGTGTTTATAATACAAATGTACAGTTTCCATACTTGTAACCGTGATAAACACTTAAATATATGTAAATTTAAACTAAGCTTTGGTACCGAAATTGGTACCGAGAACCGTGAATTTTAACTGGTATTGGTACCGAATACTGAAATTTTGGTACCGTGACAACACTAGTCACTTTTAACAATGTCTTTAATAACTTTTCTGGGCCGGAAAGTTTCAATCCCATAAAAGCCTATGGAGGAGTGATCCAGCTCTAAGATTTAATCAAAATATTTTAATTTCTGTTCCAAGGATGAACAAAAGTCTTACAGGTTTGGAACAACATGAGGTTGAGTAATTACTGACAGAATTTTTGGGTGAACGTCTCGGTTACGAATGATAACCCTCGTTCCCAGAGTAGGGAACGGAGACGTTTCATCGGAGGAGTTTACAACTTGCAGGTTCGCTATCTGATCTACAAATGGAGTGGTAGGAACCTTGGGCACATATCCGAACCAGGGTTTCAGGACAATGTGATTTGGCCTCCTAGCACCCTTAAGGAATCTGATGACCAGGTCATGCTTTCCTTATGACTACTGCATTGTGATCAGCGACTATTGCGACAACATACACTTTGAGGGTGAAGGGAGACAGCCTTCACTCCAACCCACCTCGCTAGAAGGAAAGCAAGACTCTGATCGGGCAAGTTCGGGGATTTTTCTGGCGGGAAGAACACCATTCGACGAACAGGTTTCACTTCAAAGCGTAGAGGCGGCCTTGTAGAGGGGGCTCTACCTCTGACCTGCCTCGAAAAGAACTGAGGCATCAATTTGACTGACCGAGTCCAACTCCATACCGAGATAAGAGATCCTCTGCGTGGGGCAGAGTTTACTCTTGTCGGCTGAGGTGCCGAAGCACCAAGTCCCTCGGATCGCACAACAGATCTCGCGAGTGAGCTATTATCAGCCAGTCGTCGAGAGTCGTCGTGGGAACAATGGCTGCCTCCATGACTTTCATGAAGACACGGGGCGATAGGGCCAAGGCGAAGGGTTAGGGTTCCGTTGTACTGATATGCCTGACTCTCAAATGCAAACTGAAGGTACACGAGGTTAATGTAATGTTTACAAAATTTACTATATAACAAAGTTTTCATTTAGACCCGAAACATTCATAGTAACTTGTACAAAAATGGCATTATATGACCCCTTTAAGCCCAGACACGTGAAACAGTGATCATGGCCGTCAAATGAGGACAGAAAACAACCGCATCCAGAAACATACTGGTGAAATGTCATCCTGAAAAGGAAGTGATCTTCACCCATGTTGCTCTTTTCACAGAAAACACTCTTTTTTGCGCTGAAGCACACTGAAGCCCGCTGTGCGCACTCAACCGAATACTAGCCGCGACAACAGCTCTTTGAAAAAAACAGCAGATCGTGTGAAGCAGCAGCTGGTACCCGAGAGATCGCGAAGATCGCTGAAGCGCCGTCACAACAAAATAGAGAGGTCTCGAACAAAATAGCAGACTCGTTGAGCGTGAAGATAAATGATTAATCTTGAAGCTCATCCACTCAGAGGACACAACCGGTAGGCTCCAAAGCTAAAAGCATATGTGTGTGCGCTCGTACCCGCTTCATACCCGCACTGGCAGGTGGGGCGTGGAATGTAAGTCCTGCATGCCAAATTTCATTGGCTCGTTTTAATTCACTCGAAGCCAATTGGTCTCCTTAGCGTGATCCCAATTCGTTGGAAAACTCCAAGATGTAGGAGTTCCCTAACGAAAGGGAACTATCCCTTTAAGCCACAAGTAATATATATTTAGTACCTCTTTCAGGATCAGTGAGCTGGAAAATATTTGGATGTTCAGGGTTTTCTGGCAGCGCCACAATCCAACCTGTCAGCGTGATCTTTTTACATGGCCTGGATTTATACTTGAGATAAAAAGCCACAATTACAAAGAGGTTACACAAAGAAGTCAATTTAAATGTAAACTTCATTTAAGTTTAAATTTGAAAAAGCAACACTGATAATTCCTTGAATGCAGTTAGGATGAAAATAATTGATTTAAATTGCGTTCTTAAAGCTGAAGTGTGTGAATAAAATAACAACTGCTTTCAAACTTCTCCGTCTGCCATTGGTCAAATCAAACAGACAAACCCCTTCCCAAATTAATTAAATAAGTTTGGATAAAATAATGAAATTGTTTTAATTAGCATGATAATAGGCTACATATAAATTATTTGACAATGTCTAAATAATGGCTTAGATGCCAGTAAATAATACTGTACAATAATAATAAAACATACAGTAAGTAAAGCTTTTAGTCTATGTCCACATTAATCCGGATACATTTTCGTTTCGTTTCGTTTGTGGACGGAAGGCCAAACCGGAGAGAAAAATATACGTTTTCAAACGAAAACCTATTAGTGTGGACATAGCCTTAATAACATATCTCTCTAATTTGTAATGTAGATGCATGCATTTTCTGTAAAGCTGCTTTGAAACAATATGTATTTTAAAAAGCGCTATACACATAAATGAGAATTAAACTGAATTGAATTGAACTCTGTTTTCTCACTGGATTGAAGTAATAATTAATCACTTACATGTCTTCGCTCATTTGCTCTTAGAGCTTTAGAACCAAAATAGATGAGAATGGAGCTGGATAAGACAATCCAGTAGCGCTTCCAGGATGAGAGCTGGCGTAAAGAAAACAAGAGTCAACTTCAAATCAACTTAAGAGACAGATTAAGTGCTCCTCTATTAACTCTAACAGACATGACTATTTTATTGACTGTATATCCATCATTATTCCTTTATTAATTTACTAATAACCAAGAGAGACCCATTTAAACTTAGACTTCTAAAGTCTAGTTCACCAGAGCCAAGTACCCGAGCCAAGAATATACATTACAGTCACCATGCCTGCTTTTATTTGATTGAAAAATGCAGTAAAACATTCTGAAATTTCACATTTTGTGAAATGTTTATATTTTAGTAATTACTTTTTATTTTATTTTAATTTAAAATGTAATGTATTCCTTTAATGGCAAAGCTGTATTTTCAGCATCATTACTCCAGTATACAGTCAGTGTTAAATGATGCTTCAGAAATCATTCTAATATGCTGATTTGGTGCTCAAGATACATGTATTATTATTACCATCAATTTTGAAAATAGATGTGCCACTCAATATTATTGAGGAAACCGTGATGCATTTTTGTCAGGATTAGAAATCTTTATTAACAATGTAAAAGTCTTTACTGTCACTTTTGATAAATTGAATGCATACTTTCTGAATCAAAGTATTACAGTAAGTTTTGTACTGTACTTGCAAGTACTTGTGCCTTGTCTTTTTGATGTAAAATGCAACTTTTTTTGCCTCATTCCATCAAAACTTTCTGGACAGGTATGATCGCTGCATCCTTAAAATTTAACCCAATAAGGGTCATATTTTCTTGGACATTAAATCTGGCAAATGACAGGATAGTCTACCCAAAGACTTATTGTAAATATAGATGTTGAACATTATGTTGAAAGTGTTTCAGTTTCAAACTGCAGTCCCGGTTTCATTCTTTCATGTCAAGATTTTGAAGTATTTACTGTTATAATGGTTTAAATAGGCTCATTCAGATTTTGCAAAACATTGTGTGTGCTTATAAGAGACATTTGGGCAGCGCCTTACCTACACATAACACACACAAGAAGCATGCCAGCTATACCTGATAAAAATACCTAGTCATGTTTAATGTTTGAAATTTTACAGATAAATTTGACTGCACACTTACAGTTGGCTTTTTACCCTCCTTCATAAGTGTCTTTCTCCGCAGGGGCCCTTCAATGGTTATGCTGCTCAAAGAACTGCATTCATAGCTGGATACGGACCCTGGGGTGCTGATGAGGAAGTTAGAGGATCATAGTTACTTTGGGTGGGCGGTATAACCAAAATTCTATTTCACCATATGACTAATTTTATTTCACGGTAACGATATATTTCACAATATAGTTATTTATATATGTAGTTATTCTCGACAAAAAAAAAAAAAAAAAAAATCGACAAAAGGGTCTGTGTATCTTCTATCTATAAATTACAGGAACGTCTGTGTGTGTGTCTGTTTGTTAATCGCATAACTCTCGAACCGTTAGTCTGATGGATCTCAAACTTGACAAGTACACATTGGCTTTTTCCGCTCTAGCTGCTGGCCACTCCCCCACGGGCATTTTGCACTATTAATAAATAAATCCAAATAATTTAGAAATAAAAAGTACTTCATCTTGTTTGATTTTTCTTTTATGTGGTAAATTATTTATTCGGTAAACTATTTTCATAGCTAAATATAGTAAACAAAACACACTCATCAACTTTTAGATGAACTACCCCAAACTGATTGATATTAAATACAACTCATAGGTGCAATCAAACTTTAAATTAAGTGTTGCTGAATAATTTTTCAATCTCACGTTATTGCTTTACTTCATCAATCAGTTTATAATATTTGAATATATTTTATTGAACTATTCTATTCATAATAAAATTAGTTACTTTTAATTTTAAAGGATATTAGTAATACAGATTGGCTGACCCGTACTGTACATGCTGTCAATGGATGGACGATCTGACAGGATTAAAGCTATACCTCCGGCTGAGTGGCCTGACTTCTACACCTATTCGATAGAGTAACCGAGTGTAAAGAGAAACTGAGGGCATATAAATCCTTAGATGCCTTTAACTATGTGATGAATGGTCACGTACAAGACTTATGTGTATGATCCGCAGTTCTGCCTAGCCAGCGCCGAGAAGATGACAATGTAAAGAGTGACATACGGTGCAATTTTAATGATGTGAATATTTTCTATAAATAAAAATTCCAGATACAGTATATTCATTTTTAATTGATTATTTCACCGAACAACAGGATGACATTTAATAATAATAATAATTTAAGTTCCTCATTATGTAGCCGAATCTGTGCTAGTTTTTGTAAATTATTATCCGCCTCCAGCTGTCCATTTGTTTTGCTTCCAGTTAACGCTGTGACGTAATTGTGACGCCGCTGCAAAAGGGGTCTATACACGGAATTAAAAAAAAATCTGTTATGGTTGACATTTTCTACCGCGGTAATATATACCGCTATACCGCCCAGCCCTAATATTTACCTCTTGGTTTCCCCAAGCATGATGTAATAAGGATATGCAAATAAATTGGAAAAAAGGCAATAGTATAAATTTGAGTTGTGTGCTTTATGGACACACATACCTACCTATAAATATAACTTCTGCTTCTAGGAGAGTTACAGATCGGGACTCGCCAGTTTGGACCAAGTGTTGCATACATACGGCCTCTGAAAGTGATCAGAAGGAGGGATGTGTTTTTCATTTGTATTAAGAAAACAGTCACAGATAAATAACAAACATGTTGACAGTGAACATTGCTACGTAAAAACGCAAATGTGTAGAACTGAAAATGTGTAGAGGGAAAAAGGACAAAATACACACACACACACACACACACACACACACACACACACACACACACACACACACACACACACACACACACACACACACACACACACACACACACACACACACACACACACACACACAAGACAAAATAGAAAACACCAATTGCAATCTATATTCTATTCTATTCTATTCTAATGAATAATAATGATGTGTAATTAGTCTTACCTCTCAACAGTACTTGATAATTCATCACTAAAAGAGCTCTCTCTACTGCCTACAGATGGACAGAGAAAAGATGAATGTCAAGAAAAACAAACATATTCTCTTTTTTTTCTTGTAATAAATTAATGAAAGGTGGTAACAGAAAAAAAAAATCCACAATGAAGATGACAGGTCTTTAAAAATAAATGAATGTTAAGTTTTCAAAAGGCAAAAACCCACTGCACAAAATCTTGAACACCACTCCCATCTAGTGGTGAAAAATAAAAGACAAACACATTTCCAACACAGCAGCAATATTTTATGTTACTCCTAAATTAGGACACAGACATCCTTGCACTAATCCTGTGTTAGTGGAACAAAGACTGAGATTGTGTACAATAGAAATAAACTGCAGTACCCAGTGAGATGCCGTTGGTAAATACTGAATCATGTGTGTGGTTTCTGACAGGACTGTGAGACTCTAAGAAGCTGTCGTCCAGTAGGTGTCGAGCCTTTTCTTTTGCAGGGAATGTCGCACTTTTACTCTCCACTACACCAAACTGGCACATCATACTGTGACGGGTGAAGTGAAACAGAGAGAGGCAGTCAGATTAAGAAATGTGCTCCCTCGTGAAAAAGCTGTGCAGTTGTATTGAATGTGAACTTGCAGATAATATAATACTAATGAATGAAATGTCCACTAAAGTGTACTTGAAGAGAGTACACTTTTATGACTTTGTTTCTTAATACACTTAAGTAATCGTTAAAAAAGTGCACTGAAAAAAATGTCACATTACAAGTTTTACTTTAAAATTCTAAAAAATACACTTATTTTGATGTGTTGACTAACATACTAAAACACATGCAAGGTACTTGATTATAAGTTCAACTGTAGTGTTATTCAATGTTACATTTAAAATTAACATACCCGAAAAGCACTAAAATGCAACTTAATTTAAATACTTGACAAGTTTGAATAGAAATTAAATTAAATCATAATTTAGTTTACTCAACAGTTCATTAGTAAACTTAAACCATGTTTCCAAATAAAATAGAACTGTGAAAATATATATAAAGATAAGCATAACACTACGGTGTAGCTAATTGCATTTAATATCAATTTAAAATATAATACATTCTTATTTAATTGTGTCTGAAAACATTGCATTAATTTCACAATTGCACATATATTATCATTCCTGTAATAAATACTCTTTTTAAAACTATGCTAAATTTTAAAAAGGTTAAAGGCAATTGCTTTTATCTCCATTTTGGAGCAAAGTTGTATGTTTTTTTATTTATTTGATTTCCTTGTGTTGTGATTGATAAACTTTTCACACAATGTACTGTGACACTTACTTATTTCCCAGACTGTGGCTCTTTCTGTGTCGGGCAGGGGGTGGTGTTGGGAGGTGGGCAACCACTGATGTATCAGGACAGGTTGGTCGTCGGTTATACCGACTAAGGTTATACACTTCTGATGGACCTGTACACACACATGCACACACACACACACACACACACACACGTGTTCATGTTTTAAGGGGACTTTCCACACTGTAAAAAAATATTTTCACAACATATTTTCTTTTGTCAAATCAACTTTATAATAATTTATTTAGTTGAGATAACTTATTATTTTGAGTTTCTGATGATTAAATTAACCTCCTTCTTTGAATTAACTCACTTTTTCCAGTTCAATCAACTTAAAATTTTAAGGCAACCCAGGTTACTTACTTTTTTAAGTTAAACCAACAATATTTCTTTACAGTGAATAGACATAATGATTTTTAAATACTATCCCATAACCATAAACCTATACCCATCACAGAAAATGTTCTGCATTTTCATCATTTCATTGTGATTTATAAGCTGTTTTCCTCATGAGGACCAAAACATTTCCTCACAAGATCAAAGTTTTCTGGCATTGCCATTCTTTTGGGGTAATTTTGTTCCCATAATGTAGGGCATACCTGTCCTGAACACACACACAGACACGCACGCACGCACGTCTGCACACACGAACATTTGCACACACACTCCATATCAAGGTCTTAAATGTCTCCTTACTTGTTAAAACATTGAAGCTACATTGAAACATAGATCACTAGATTGTAGCTGCATTTTTAAAGTCTGTTCCTGTTCTGTTCAAAACAAACCACCACAAAATGCTTACTGAGCACCAATTAAAGAGTGTGGATAATTAGAAAAGATATGGCAGTTAGAAAGTTAACAGGAATAAAACATTGGAAAGTAGTTCCACTTCATGTCAAAGAGGACGGCTCAGTTTCTCAAAGCTGGCCTGATAAACAAGAATGTCACTCTGAAGTAGCAAAAATAAGTGGACAGTCAGTGAAAATGTTCCCTGCAGTAATGTTTACAGGCCTTTTTCCACAGTTAAGTCAAACCAGAGTAGGATGTGTGGACATTTTGTAAATGGCTTTTGAGTATTAGGAGTATAATATTAATCATGACATCCCCTTCCGTCTTTTATAGTACATTAATAGGTCTCATAATGGGTAAGAAGACCCTTTACCTAAATGAAAATGGGATTTCTTCCCAACTAGCAATCAGAAGAGACAAGCTAAGTGATGTCAGTAGGGAGTGAATCATTAAAGGCCTTACAAACACTAGATATATAGGCCAGGAAAGCATAGTGGCCAACAGAGACTTCTCAAGAGTGGCAATGGATAATAATCAAGCGTAGCGGGACTCTCAGCTCATCAACGTATACTAATATGAATATGTTGCCTATCATTGTATACATATATAAGCTCCTTCAGTATTATCAGCAGCTATCGCGTTTCTCAGGAGCAAATTACCCTCCTCCATCCCCAGCTCCTCCTCTCGTCAGTCAGGATTTGGTATTCTGATTCCCTGATGAATTATGTTGTACATGAAAATATTAACATTTATGATACAGTATCTGCAATACATTCGTGTTGGTTCTGTTCTGTTTACCCTAAGGTTTTTTTCTGCTCTCCCTGCTCTAGGCTGCATGAATGCACAGGGAGTTCTTGAATAATTGAATAAAACAGAATAATTCAAATTGTTTAGTTTTGATGTGACATATTATGCACATTTTCACCATGCATTTCATATTAAGTTTAATAGATAAGAAATGTGTTTAAGGTTAATGTTTAACTTCTAAAATTCTGAGCAGGGGTGTGTTTCCCAAAGCCAACTATGGACACACACGTACACATTTAAAAAACTTCATTATAAATGTATTTGCACTTATTTGTATCATATTAACAGCGATAATCAGATGTTGTTGCTGACTAGCTTTGTCATAGTAACGTTCCATGTGAAGCTAATGAGGAAATGTATTTCATTGCTCCTTTCACCAAGTGCGTTCCAAACAACTTCATAATGACACACAAGGTCCCTGCTCCCTCCACTTCAAGGGCTCTGTAGGGCATAGGGATACTCACTTCAGATTGGAATTCAACCCTAATAATTAATAATTAACATATAATATATAACTACATAAAATAATTTCAATAAATCATCACAAATAATGCAACTTGGAAACGTCTCCTCTTAAATTGCATGCTTACTTTTAGAAACAATTTCTCAAGCTATATACTGTAACAAAAAAGTTGAACGAGTGAGTTTGTGTAAAAAAACGTAAAAAAAAAAACTTGACATCCCTGAATTAAAAAAAAAAAATCTTGATTTTGACAATGCTGCTTGATAAAAAAAAAAAAAAAAAAAAAAAAAACATATTCTTTCCATATCCATTCTCAACCTAGATTTCTCCACGAGTTTGGCCAGTGTGGCAGCACAGCTGTTACAACCATAAAATGCTCAATGTAAAATAGGAAACATCCTAATTGCTCATCCTCTCTTGAGAGGAACTGACTTACACCGTGATCTCATTCAAACTCTTCAGTAACTTAAGTTTCTTGTCTTGACGTACAAGGACCAAAAAGTCTTTTTAAACATATTTCTACTCAGTACTGTGTTCCTCCATGAGTGAAATTTGTGGGATTAAGGGTATAAAAATACTTGCACAATGGATGTGGAACACAACATCATTCCTGTTATGATGAACGGGGGGCACTATTTTTATATTTTACCTATTTTCATTATTAACTACACAAACTAACCAAGTTATACAGTAATAACTCACAAAATTGTGAAATAAAATAAATAAACATGTGCCTTTGCCAGGCACAAATCGATTTTACTCAATCTGTTTAAATCTGTTTATGTACCAGTAGTCTTTGATACCACATTGGGTTTTAATTCATGCACGACTGAAAAGAGAAAAAGCTTATGCATTTTAAGTCAAGACTTAACTTTAACCTACAAAGGTCTATCTGAAATTTACCAAAGGCCACCATGATCCAGAAAGACGGCTCCTTCAGAGCCACTCTACAAAAGGCAGGTGGTTTTAATCTGACACACAGAAAATAATAAGCTCATGGGAGAATTGAAGAAAAGTCGCTCTTTTTAAACAAGCGTCTGTGGGATGATGTAGGTTCATGAATGCTAGGTTACATGGGTCTTACTCTTTTATTGTCCCTCCAACACACACATCTTCAGAATCCCTCCAACCAACAATGATTTCCAGACAAGCAGAAAACCAACACCTCTCCAGTCAGGTAGAGCTGAAATACCAAATTACTGACGATCCTCCATTTTTCCACTGGTGATCATAACTCAGAAAAAAAAGAGGAGTTTTTGAGAAGAGTAGATTGAACAAATTACCTCCAAGGTCTTCTTTGGAGGATACCAGACGAGGTGAGCTGTTCCCAGGTTCAATCTTCAACGATAGCCTGTATAAAAGGGTTGTGAAAGGGTTATAGTCAATAAAATATAATTTTTGGCCATATGGTTTAAACTACAGAAACATTTGTACAGTCTTCATCAGTATTTCATATGCTTATACACAATAAGTCCTTTTCAAGCTCAGCAATTATGCTCTGATACGGGAAAATATCAGACTATTGTTTTTGAAGCATAGCAGTATTACTAGAATATTAGCTGTTTTTTAGTAACTATAAATCACATATTAATGCCTTATTTTGCATGACCATATTCTACTTCCCTTAGTCCTAGCCAATACCTAAACTTAACAACTACGTTACTAACTATTAATATGCAGTAATTAGGAGTTTATTGAGGCAAAAGACATAGTTAATAGTGAGAATTGAACCCTAATCTCAAGTGTGAACATAAACACACACACACACACACACACACACACACACACACACACATGTATATGTTTGTATTTATGTACAAGGGTTGGACAATGAAACTGAAACACTGGCCAATGTTGGAGGTTTCACATCTATATGCCTGGCGGCCAATCTTCAGAGTGAAGCACGGGTGGATCAGTGATGGTTTGAGCTCCAATACCATGACAATCCTGATTGTATTTGATGGACACAACACTGCCGAGGACTACCAAACCCTTCTGGAGGATCATGAGCACCTGATGCTCAAACCGTGTATCAGCATGATCATGCACCAACACACACAGCAAGACTTGTGACAGAAGGGTTTGATGAAGATGAAAGTGACGTTGAACATGCACAGTCACCAGATCTGAATATTCCTGAGGTGTTTTGGAGGAGCGAGTCCATCAGCATCATATAGTGACCTGGACACTGTTCTGGAAGAGGAACGGCTCATAATCCCTCTGGTCACTGTGAATGACTTCTATCTGTCATTCCCAAGATTTATTGGTGCTGTATTTGGATGCAAAATGAGGCCCTCACCATACTAACAAATTATTGTGTTGTAAAACCAGGTGTTTCAGTTTCATTGTCCAACCCCTGTATGTATATATATATATATATATATATATATATATATATAAATACAAACATACACAAAAAAAAAAAAATCTGTTGGCTCGGGTACATTGGGTTTGAGATAAATAAATTTTTTCAAAGTTCATGCGTGTTTTAGAAAGTAATGAAAAAAACAAACAAACACTTTTTAGGCAAAATTTAACACATTTCTGAAAATGACCTCTTTATAGCCAGCTCCATTGAGATCGCTGTAACAGCAGTGCCAGATGGCAGGACATGCTGTAAGTGTAGGCTAATGGTTTTAAGACTGTTACCCTGGATCGCTGAGGTTTTCCAACCCCACAGACTGCCAGACGATGATGTCATTCCCCACAAACACAACTATTACCCTGCAGTCCCTTCTATTCCACCAAACCCATTCTCCTCTGGCGGCCCTGTATCCTTTGGTGTTGTCAGAGGACTCACATGGAGCCCAGTGACTGTCTGAATGTCTACACTTTATATACAGTATGCACTTAATTATGGTGCAATGAATACACTTTCATTAACAGGACCTCTTTGGGTAAAAACAGAGTTGTCTTTTGTACAACACATTATTGTAATGATCTTTTGACCAGACACACTATTACCAGATAAAGATTTTAAAACAAATAATTTAAAGCTTATTTATTTACACCTGAAATAGCGTCTCCATTGGTGTTACATCTTTATGACTTCATGTATTTCTCATTAATATGGCACAGACTCTATATAAACACTTGTGTCTGCATGGCTTAGTTTCACTTGAAAAGGTTCATCTGATACTGAAGTAAGCCAGGCAAGTAATTTTTTTAACGAAGCATGGAAAAAACTTGTGAATTATGTCACCGTGCCAAAAAGGTGTCTTTCTTCATTTTCTCATATGGACTTGTGTTTGAAAGCTTTACCAGACCAACAGCTTTAACTCATTACTGTCGTCAGTCAGAATGGGCCTCTAGAAATGATTCAGTAAGGGTAAATTACACCAAAGCAAAATAATCCTTCTTTCTTCTAAGGAAACAACTCAAGAAGATCTTGAATATATATCTCACAAGATTATACAAATGTCAGGTCATTCATATTAAAATAAAACATATTACATTGTCACAATTATGGTACAGTTCTTTCTGTCCCTTTAAAAAACAAAACATGTTAATTAGTATTAGATATGTTAAAAGTGCCCTAGTATTTGAAACTGAATTTATCTTGACATAGTTAAATAACAAGAGTTCAGTACATGTACATGACATACAGTGAGTCTCAAACACCATTGTTTTTGATCTCCACATAACACCGACTTATTTTCTAACCTGGGACAATATCAAGCATACTTCTACAAGTGGTAAACTAGTGATTTTATTAACAATCATTTACACTGTCTTATCTAGATCCAGCGCAAGATCCTAGTACAGTAACAAATAGCAAACTCCAAGTAACGAGCATACATAACTAAATAGTATGACAAAGTATTTACACTGAGGATATTATTTCTTGCCTGCGTTGTCATATAAATCTACAAAATAATACTGTAGAATGTAGATACACATATAAATTCCCTTTCGTCAAATAATTTTATTTTCGTCTATTTCATCAACAGGGGCTATACTGTAGTTGCTCACAGATAATGTTGGCTGACTCGATCCTTCTAGCTAACGTCACATTCTCCACCACATAAGTTAAAGCTATATTTATTTGACAAGGCATCTAACGTTAGTCCATTTGTTCAAATGTTTTAATTTTTGAAATCTGACGTATGATTATTTTACACGCTTGAGTGCACCACAGCCCTTGGGTACTAATGATGTAGGCTGCCAAACAGATGATCCTATCGTCTTGTGTAAGGGAACACAGCTGTCTTTGAACACAATGAGGCCGCAGTGAAACAGCCAATCAGAGCAGAACTCCTCATTACTATTCATGACCCTTCCAAATAAGGTAAATACAGACCATTTCATTCTAGGGCCAGTTGAAAATGGACCTGTAAAACCATATCTGGACATTTGTAAAAGCCACATACCCTCTATGTAGATATAAAAGACAAAATTAAAATATTATTTATTATATTACACTATTATCTTACATAAAAATAAACGTGAAATCTGTTTCCCCCCTTAATGTGTCAATAATTACAAAAACAGCAGATGCCAAACTATCAGTTTAATTTAGGTTTAAGCCAGTTGGCATAAACACACACACATACATATTGTATACATATATAAACTTTGACACCCCACTTGAAAAAGTCAACACCTAACTGGAAAGTAACTAACACATCCACATGGAAACAGTGGAAATATGGGCATCCAGAATTTTGCAATTCCCAATGTTGGGTTTATAAGTGTCTAGACAGCAAGAAATTGGACCGCAATAAAACCACCTGCCCTTTGTGCAAGACAGACAGACAGGACCACACAGTAGGTCTGAAGAGAACTACCGGAGGAAACAGGGAAAAGTCACTTAATAATGATGAAAACATCAATGCTATGCTTGTCTTTGTAGAGGCAGAAAGCCACATGTATGCATAATGCATAACACATGTAGCATGTAACATTGAAGCATTTCTAAAATGGTACTTTTGCAATATTTTTTTCACAACATTTATTTTGTCATACATCACCTAATGTGTATGGCACATTTTTCATTTCAGAAAACCATATTAAATAAGACCGTGCAAGGAAAATAAATTGTACATAATGTAAAGGAAATAGGGATTATATTGTAGCATAAAGTCATGCCAAGCTGGTGCGCCTGTGGCCGGGAAAATTAGGTGCTTGGTCGGCCTTTGGGCCATGCAGCCAAACCAAGAAGGCTTAAAGTCCACAGATAGCACATGTTTTAATAAATACTATAGGCAGCTGGCTAAAATGAATTGTTAAAACAAGGGAGGGTCTTGATTTACGGGCGTCTTCCAGATGTGGGTAGTTTAAAGTGAAAGCTGGCATAAACATTTAAGAAATGCAATAAATTGCAGGGCAGAACGCAAAGCAAAAATCACCCAAAACAACCAATTCATCTGAATAAATGCTACTGAGCATTACAATGTGTTTAGGTAACTTACGTGTAATTGTCATCCTCCACAAACTTCTGAAGCTCCTCGATGTAGCGCACAGACATCAAATACTTCTGCACGTGTGGTAACATGACCAAATGATCTGTGGTGTGAATAAATGTGGAGATGAAATGTAAATTATCTGCCATCAGCACATAGACTGTGTGCAGGTTTATATATGTTTGCTTTCCTTTTTTATTTCGATCAATCATGTTCATGTTTATTTCTAGTTCAATCATACAACTCTAGAGGGTGCTGACTGATAAGTCCTTTACATGAAATCTGCCTCTGCTGATCCTGCAGCCAATGAGATTGCTTGCTCAACATTTCTGAACCCAGTCAGGTTCATTGTTTGTAGTAAGCTTGTCCTGCAGTCCTTCAGAGTTCCTCTGAAACCACACCCCCTCCCACCTCCCCCAGCTCCACCTGCCTATTTGCTACAGGATTTATGTATGACTATTTATGCAGCAGCGACATATCTTACATTCTAACAGCAGCTGTTAGCTGTAGCAAGTACATACTTGCTCTGCAGAAACAATAATCAACAGCAGTAGCAGCATTAACATAATTCAATAACCTGCTAAAACTATGGAAGATGAAATAAAAAAAAGTAAATGGTACTTGCAAAAATAATAATGTAATAAGAAAATGAAAGTTTTTTATTAGCAACGTACCATAGTTACAGGACACCTGTAGGTCGGAGATGATGCGCAGTAGATTGTTCATCTGATTGGTTCTTTGCTCAGTCTCGATGATGCTGTCAGAAGCAGGGTAGGCGGAGTCAATGTAGGTCATATCAAACAGGTATATTCCTAATGTAAACAGAGAAGAAAACGTGTTTATGTACATGGGAGAGGGAGATTGTTTTATTCATAATTAATGTTTTCTCTTTCAATTGTAACTCAAAAGGTGAAATTCAGAAAACTTTGGTTGGTCACTTTTGATGTCTTGGTCACTTTTTTTCCCCATGCAGGTGGAATATATATATATATATATATATATATATATATAATGTATAGTGCATGATTTGTATGGACTTTTATGACACTTTTATGCTGACAGTTCTTTTTTACAGTTACTTATTCAAAAGTCTGGGGTCAATACAACTTTTTAATGAAAATAATACTTTACATTTATTTAAGTTATAAATGATATATCATACTGTTAATATTTATATTACAATACCTCTATTTCAAATACATGCTGTACTTTTGAACATTCCATTCTTAAAAGAATCCTAAAACATTTATTATGGTTTCCAAAAATATTAGGCAGCAAAAATATTTTCAATATTGATAATAATGAGAAATGCCCCAAATCAGCATATTTGAACGATTTCTGAAGGATCATGTGACACTGAAAACCAGGGTAAAAATCTGACCGCCCCAAACCTCGGTTACTACCTTTTGCGCTTCATGGAATGGATTATAAGAAGTACTGTAATTGATTATTTTTTGGGGGGTGAAGTATCCTTTAAAGATGGGTTTAAAACAAACTTCTAAAACATATAAAAAAATCCACATACTATCCACACATCAGGGCGCTGAACTCAGTGTTGTGAAACTTCAAGGCTTTCCATTTTCCACTCTTTTACTACATCTACACATTTAGTTCAGAGAGAACTCTCTCCAGGACTCTCATGAACACTGGTAATTGTCAGGTAACGTGGACAAAACTAAATGGCATGCAGTGTCTGGCCTGAAAAGAGTGGCCTGGAGCTATTGACTGAATGTTTTTGCTTGCTTGTTGGAGTTCTGTTTCCTCTAAAGGATTCATGAAGCAGCTTGCTAATAAGCAGGTAGAGGTTACGAGCCTGTTAATGAGTGCAGTTAGTCGAAACTGAAGAGTGAATATGTACTTTACACAGTCAGTGGGATGAGTCTGCTTTCTCACGCCAAGCCTTTAAAGACTATCTGTGGCTAAACTTAAATTACAGGAAGGTGAGAGTGGTTCTCAGTGAGTGAAGAAAGCAGGATAAGTTAGCTCAGTAAAGTGAATCGGCAGCTAAAAACTTTCAGTAGCTCCACAACTTCTCTCCCACTCTATTGTTAAACCAGATGCCATACTTGTTCTCTGTAATTGTAAAATATGGTCAATGTTCTTCTCAAATGGCCAGAATAGTTTTGACACCTGGTCCTGAGATTGAATAAACAGATCTTCTGTGGTTGACAGCTCTTATTACTGCTCAGATCTGATGTGTAGCCTATACCCTTCTGTCTGATGAAATAGACCTTTATGGGTTTGTCATTAGCATGAAACTATGATTTCAGTTGAAAAAACAAACAAACAAACAAACAAACAAACAAACAAACAAACAAACAAAAAATGCAGGGTTGACCTTATATGGAATACTACTGGAATACTATAATCATTCAAAAGTTTAGTATCAGTAAGATTAAAAAATAATAATAAATAAGATTTTCAGCAAGGATACATTAAATTAATATATAAAAATGACATTTATAATGTTACAAAATATTTCTATTTAAAACAAATGCTGTTCAAAAGCTCTGTTTTCAACTAAATTAATATGTTGAAATACATTGATAAAATACATTGATAGTTTATATATATATACAGTATATATATATATATACAGTATATATATATATATATATATATATATATATATATATATATATTCTATATAAAACTATAGAAAACTTCTATAGACTAAGAATTTAAACAATATATTTGCTGTCTGCATTTCCAGCACGGTCTAAAGTACCGGGATGATTAGGAAAATAGTACGCTGGCATAGGTCAACACGCAATTTCATTCTCTGAATATAAGCTTAATAAAGCCTGAACCTCGTCGTCAGTCCATCGGTCATATTTTTTTCGGTCATATTTTATCATCTGTCATAACTTGTTTGTTGATACGAATAGTAAAAAACTGTTACTGCACACACCGCAACAGATAAAAAAAAAAAAAAAAATGTGATTGAAATAAAGTGCTGCATGGAGTCAACCAATCAAAATGTGGCATGAACTCAACCAATCAGCTTGTTCAGCGCCCAAGTCCCACCACTGAAAGTTTCGGAACTTTGAGAAAGTACTACCTTGCCAGCAGGGACTTTCGGATGGGGAAATATTTACCCAGAACTTCATTTAGACCCTGGTTTCTGCAGAGTTCCTAGGGAAAGTTCATGCGGTGGAAACGTGGCTTATTACTGTTTTTATTCAAAGAAATGCAACATCTGTGAGGTACAGTAAAGAGACTTCTTTCAAAAACATCAATATTACCGACCCCAAACTTTTTAATGGCAATGTCTATAAATATTAGGGCTGTCAAGCTTTTACAAATTTCAAAATTATACGCCGTGGTGATTAATTAATCTAATCAGTAAAAACTACTGTTTTTGCTGATTAATTAATCTAATTAATCACCTCCAAAAGTTAATTCAAAGTCATTATTGTGTTAAATGAGAAAAGCATCAAATAGACATAACAAAAAGTAGCTTTGGATTTTTTAATTTTTTCTATTTGATTCAACACAGTATTTTACTTTTAAGCTTCAACAGCCATGAGGGTGAGTAAATGATGACAGCATTTTCATTTTTGGGTGAACTATACAGTACCTTTAATGTTTTAATGCTTTAATGTATTAATATGGAAAAATTAAAGAAAAAAAAAAAAACTAAATAAAACAACAAAACTGCCAGAAGGTAGCAGTAAATGTCTAAATGATTAAGTAATTGATTCATTCGATTCGTTTAAGTGGCTGATTTATTCAGGGCTGAAGTAAATGGCTCTCTTTATGAATGGGCAATAAAATCATTGGTTCACTCGATTGGCAAAAAAAATAAAAAATCTGCGGGACCAATAAATGATCTAGAAGTATAGCAAACACTAAAACTGGCATTAAAGTCACAGAAATAGCCTCAAGCATGTGTCGAGTTTGCATGTTGGTCAGGGAGGTCAGAGATTGACCCTGACAAACTTCCTGTGAGTATACTGTAGCTCATTGACCTCCAGTGACCTCTTACTGGATTCAATTACAACAGCAAAAAAACTACCCTGTTAATGAAAGTGAATGAGCTCAGCTGCCATCTATTGGTCAATTATATAATGTTACATACACAGAGAGAGAGAAATAATTCTCTAAAAATATATTAAAGGAAATAGAAAAAAAATATTTAAATGTGAAATACAGTCAAAAAATGTGCTCAAAATAAAGCAAATACTGTAAACAAAATGTTAAACATTTTTGAGGTAGAAGTCATTTTTAAACTTAAATTTTTTCAAGTCAGCAAGGACAAAATATCAGTTTTCTTGTCCATATGTTTTAGTAGCTAGTTACTGATTCAGTCACTGTCATTAAGATTTTATATTTAGTAAAATTACTTGATATAAAAAGTGGAAATATTATGCTGGTTTGACAAAATGGGGGAAAAATACAGCTATTTGGCATAAACCATATTCTAATTACAAATAATTATATACGTGTCTTCAGTCAGATCTATTCTAGGCTTTTAAGACTTTTTGGGACACAATGAATAAGAGTGAATAAACTTCCTGGAAACGAGTGTTCCAGTGGCTGGTTTCCAAAGAACCCGGTTAAGCTCCATTAAGAGAAAGACAGAACGCGGTAGAAGAAAACGTTTCACAGTTATCAGTCAGGCTTGGAGTGCTAAAAACGAGATTGGTAATCTTATTTTATACCTGAAGTAACTTTTCAAAACTCACAACCAAATTTAGAGAACCAGTACAGAATTTGCAGCATGAAAGGAAACTTGACTAGTTTTTCTGAATTTAGGGATAACTTATGGGTAGAGTTTAGGGGTAGGGATAGGATTATATTTTCAAACAGGAATGTTGATAATATTTATATGTTGACCCAGGTAGGCGTCTAACTCAGCCAAATCAGGATGTGCATCATTGAACAGCCGTGGAATTCGGTCACGGAGCAGCCATCCAATAATGATGTCCATGAATAGAACAGGGAGTGTGTCGTAGCACTGAGTCTCCTAAAACCAGGGACCATTACAGTCCAATACATTTACAGACTACAGGGTTTATGCTCTTTGAAATATAACACTCACATGCATTTCTCGAGCCAAGAATTTAAGGGCACAGTGAAACTTTCACACAGAGAGAGAGAGAGAGAGATAGAGGTGGTATAAATCACAATGGCTCAGGAAATGTTTTACTGAAAATATCACAACAGATATATTGGTGATTAAAATAAATTCTGACATATCTCAGATGATCAATGATTGATAGGGTTCACCTGTGACATATTACTAATAATAAGTAAATATGATCACATGCGAGTTAACCACAGTGGATACTCAAATGGGACAGCCACGAATTTTGGTCTATAAATATCAAAAGCATTTAGGACACTGATGAGGCTGCTTCCAGTCAAGATCTTTGACTATATATTTTTAACAAATGACATGATAATAATAAATAAATTAATTGAAAATCAATAATGCAGTGCTGTTTGAATATGCCAGACAGTGTAAAAATACATAATATGCTCTTTAAACCAGCTTTGTTGTTGTTAAATAAAACTATTAAAAAATTGTTTCCATTAATTGAAATAATCCTATAATAAAAATAAAATATTAGATGAGTAACTTAAACTTAAAAAAAAAGACTAAAAGAAAATTACAAACGTTGCCTTGTTGCTTAAAATAAGTTAAAGTACTAAAAGTAATACAACTAAAATTGAAATTGTAAAAAATTAAACTAATACAAATAATATTAATAAAACAAACTTAAATTTAAATGAAATGTAAAAATACAAAAATAAAAACTAATTAAACATACAAATAATACTAAAATAATGTCACATGCAGCTACGA